TGTGAAAACCTCATTCAACCAATCATAATTTTTTATTTTGTTCATTTTTTTGTAATTATGAGAGGTTGATTAACCATTTTTATTATGTAAGGTGTTAATCATGGATATTATCATGTTCATTATTTTAATTTTAGAGAAATATATGAAACAGTTTCATTAAATATTATATGAAACAGTTTCATTAAAATTTCATTAAATATTATATGAAACAATTTCATAATCATATATAAAACAAATTCATCAAAAAAAAAATATTATATGAAACAATTTCACAAGATTAAACAATTTTATGAAAAAATTTCATAAGATTAAACAATGAAATCGACGTATGAAGGTAGTTTGTACGGTTTTTACAAATGAGGGTGATTTTCATTTGAACACTCCTATATATATATATATATATATATCCCACTGTAGGGTCGGTTTCATGGAAAACTCTAACGGTTGATAAAGTGTTTTCTAGTTTTTTCATTTATTCAAGGGTTTCCCTGAATCTCCCTAGACACACGCACCAAGATATGACACCTTTTGTTAACCGCTTGATTAGTAGAAACAGTGTTAACCGGGGTATTTTTGTCTTTTTCATATATTGATATCACTTTTTTTAATTATCTCATTCACTTACCATTTTGAAACAGATTGCCATACAAACTGTAATGAACTTTTTGGTTTCACTTACAAACACTTATAAAAATATTAGAACAACCAAAATTCATACATGAAACAACATTATGGAACATCATAAACTTTAAATAAAAATCATTGTTTTACCTGTGAACTTTTCAGTTTTATCTGTGTACTTTGCTTTCATCATGAATTTTGTCTAAACTATCACTTTGAAAAAAGTAATGGTCCAAATAGAAATTAAATGAGTTTGTAAAATTAGTACTGATTATGTTAAGTAGTATTTCTGACACATCAACGTCCCAAAAATTTGGAATTTTTTTTTTAAACTTAACAAGTTCAAATAACTTATTTATATTCTATAGAAGAGTGCTCGCATAATGCAGTGAGATACATCTCGATTTTAATGTTTCTTTTTATTATTTGTCTCTATCAATGTTATAACACGGTTTTATATTGTTTTGAGAAAAAGATAATATTTTTACGTTTTGAATAAAAAATAAATTTGAAGATCCATAAAAACTTGAAGAGATATTAATATTATAATCGAATTAAGTATTTAAAAGTTCTTTTTTTTTGTGTAATTTTTTTAATTCGATTTTTTTTATTATAGTTTAATGATAAAGTAATTTATTTCCGGTTTAATAATATTACATTTTTTTATAAAAATAATAATTAAGTATTTTATTAAATGCTAATGATTATCTTAATTATATCTTTGATTTTCTATATTGAAAATGAGATGTTTATCATATATTTGATTAAGTTTATCTGCAGTTAATTACTCAAATTCAAAATGCAGCTTTAATAAGTTGTAGTTTCGCACAATTTACTTATAATTTTGAATTTTAAGTAATATGCATCAATAAACAATATTTTATGTATAAAAATGGTTTTTAAGAGTTTTTTATCAAATGTTTTATAATACTAGAAGGATACTCGTGCAATGCAGCAAAATAAAAATTGATTTTAATGTTTAGTTTTTATTCTGTCTTTATCGATATAATACGATTTTATGTGATTTTGAAAAAACGATAATGTTTTTATTTTTCATTGAAATATAAATTTAAAGATAGAATAATTTGAAAAATAAATAAATCGACATTAGTATCAATTAATTATTTAATAGTTTTTGTTTTCTTTCAATTTTTTATTATAATTTAGTTTAGATTTAAGAACAAGATAATTTATTTTGATTTAATAATATAATTTTTTTTATAAAGATAATAATTAAACATTTTGTTAAAACTCAATAATTATATTAATTATATTTTAGATTTTCTATATTTAAAATAGTGTTTATCATGTATTTGATTATGTTTATCTGCAGTTAGATACACAATTTTAAAAATGAAGTGTACTTATGCAAAACTACTTGTAATCTTGAATTTTAAGTAATATGCATTAATAAACAGTACTTTATCGTAATAAATAAACTTATCATATATTTTTAATCGATTGTCACACGTACTTTTTTCTTTTAATTACATAAAAAATACATATATGACAAATAACAATTGATTTGGACATATTTGATGATGTTCAAAGCTAAATTGGAACGTTGAGTTATTGAAAATTAATACGGGACCCCGAGAGTTTTAATCCGATGACGTGAAAATATTTGATTCCTTGATTTTGATTGAATGACACGTCTTTTTCCTTCGATTGTACTCGGAAAAATAGGATGGAGACGTTTCTCTTGTGTTTTCCGTCTTCTGACACTCGTGTTTGCCACGTCCCTACCCTTTCGAAACCAAGGCCACGTTTGTTTATTTTAGTTATTTTATAGCAAAGCATAGGGCATGAGTAATCTTGTGTTTGAACCTAGTTAACCTGAATTCACAAGGTTTTCTGCGTTTATCGATAATCCAGATGATTCTTATAAAAAATGATCTGTAGATTTTTCTCGGTTTTGGCTGGTGTGCAATAAACGGTTTGTGAATTTTGCCAATCTAGACTAAGTTACCGTTGATGTTTTTGTATACTTGGTTATTGTTTTTTGTTGCGGTGGTTGATCTATATCTAAAACCCTAACGACTGCATGAACATGTTTGTTTTCAAGTTTTTTTTTGCATGATAACCGGTTAATACTTCAACCGGTTACTCGAGTACTTAAATATTTAAAACTTTACATCTTAGGTACCAAAATGGAAGTTTTAGAAATACGTTACCTAAAATAGGAATCAAGTTAAAGTACGTTATTTTTTCATGCAATTTGCCTATTTTTATTATACAATAGTATATAGAATATGTCAGAGTATGAGCAATTCAATAATTACATAAAACATAAACTCTTCATTTCTTCTATCGTCGGCCCTTCTTGTATTTACGAGAAAAGTCTCAGGTTCAAATCCAAGAAGGAATAAAAATCCCCTTCTGGGTACGGAGGTTCAAATGCGGTGACTCCCGACTATCTGCAAAGCAGGTGGTCGCTCTGAGATTAGTCGGCTCGCATAGCAAGTTGGATATCCAGGTTATTAAAAAAAAAAAAAATACTACCAACAAAAGAACTTAAGAACACAGTTTTTTCTGGTGTCTTTCTATTTTTTAAAATCCTCTGTTTCCTCATCAACACAAACAACGTATATATTTACATACACACATAAAAACAATCTTCCACAACTTGTAACACACTGTGATTCAAATCCTTACGAGTTTAAGTGTGTCGATGGACCCTGTATTTGTGCCAAACTACGTAATCAACATAGCCAGATTCCCCAGAGCTAGCATTTGACTAAGTTGTTAACGTGCACGGTGCACTCATACTCAAAACAATTCAACATATGTAACGTGTTAAAACTATGCATGACTTACGTAAACAAGTAATACGTAATAAACACCAACTACGCAACATATATGAAAGTGACCTTCCGTTTGCTGCCTCTGACTATAACTTATGTTCGACTTCTTAAGATTTCAACATTTTCGATTTTTTATTATTTTAAAGGGCAAATTGCATGGAAAAGTAACGTAACTTAACTTGATTCATATTTTAGGTAACGTACTTTTAAAACTTTTATTTTGGTACCTAAGATGTAAAGTTTTAAACATTTAAGTATTCGAGTAACCGGTTGAAGCATTAACCAGTTATCATGCTAATGTGGTATCCAACTCAATATTATTTGCTGATGTGGTTAGTGATATGGATTTTTTTAATCTAAAATTAGTCTTTTTTTAATGTAAAATTAGTGTTTCAACCGGTTACCCGGATACTTAAATGTTTAAAAACTTTATATCTTAGGTACCAAATAAAAGTTTTGTAAGTACGTTACCCAAAGTAAAAATCAAGTTAAAGTACGTTACTTTTTCATGTAATTTGTTCTCTTTTAACTTGTTCCAGTATCATATTTTTGACAAATTAAATTACATCATAATTTCATCAACTTCATTTATCTAATTGTTAATTACAATATGAACATTTCAGCAGAAATCACACCAAACCTCAATAATTCAATTAATTGAATTTCCTTGAATCTCAATAGTTTGACTTTCCATAAAAGTCAACTATTATTCACTCGTTATGATTTGTTTATGTTCAATGCCATATTGAAATTGGTTGTGGAGGCAATTTTTTCAATGAACAAAAAGAAATAAATAAAAAATAATTTAATTAATGTTTAATAGTTATTATATATACTATATTATAAATATTTGATAAAAACACTTAAAAACAATTTTTTATGATGAAATACTGTTTATTGATACATAATACTTAAAATTCAAAATTACAAGTAGAATATACATTAATACATCTTGTTAAAGCTTCATGTTTAAATTTGTGTAACCAATTGCAGACAAACATGATCAGATACATAATAAACATTATTTTAAATATAAAAAATCAAAAATATAATTAAGATAATCATTGAGTTCTAACAAAATACTTAAGTACTATTTAAAAAAAATTATTTTAATAAACCAAAAATAAATTATTTCATTTTTAAACTTTAATTAAATTATAATAAAAAATTTAATAAAAAAAATTACACAAAACAATAATTTTGAAATGGTTAATTCGATACTAATTTTACTATTTTTATATAAAATACATGTGGGAATTAAGGAAACTTGACCAAACAGCCCTTAAAACACGCGTCTGACAGCCGCTCCGGTTACTATCAATCGGTGAAAAAATCCGGCAGCCGGCGGCCGGTGGGCGGTGGACACTGGACTGAGGATTCCATGTGTACACTCGATGAAAAACCAGAACTTCCAAAAGTAATATAATTTACTCAAAGCAAAATGAAAAGTTCCATCACTTTTCGAAGGCAATTGGAATCTTCCATTGATGCTCGAAGAATTTTATAAGATGAATTGTGAACCGCACATGGTATGATTCAGAGAAACTATCCAGGTTTTTTCTCTTTGAATCATTCATGTATATTCATTGATTCATCTCATCTCCTCTTCTTAATATTGTTCAATAACTGATTAGATCAAAATCTCACGATGAATCAATAGTAAACTGTCTAACATCAGCGGCGGCGCCACCGTTTTAGGTTGCGATGGTGTGGTAAATTCACCGGCCAAGTGGTAGTTGTTAATAGAGATAAATCGCTGATCTAGTTTGACCTGAATTTTGATTTTTACGTTTCTTTTAGGTGAAGAGATAAGTTTCTAGACCTGCCAATGCCGTGTTTTGACCTACATATATGGCAATCAGCCAGCTACAAATTTTGATTTCTTATTTCAAGTTTTTCCATTAAAGGAAAATTTAAACATTTTTGTAGCACGAATAAGGATCAGATCGGGGAAGCTTACACGAAATCTCCTTCTTAGGGTTCATAACACTCAATCGTCTTCAAATATCCGCGTTGTTTCCTGATCATGTTGCCAAGTCATATTTGGTCTCTGATGCAATTTCCATTATAAATTAGGTTTTTCAGTTCAATTCTGAGGGTTTTGCGTTTGAATCATCACCAATTTGCTTTCAAATTTCAATAAATTGTTTTCTGGAAGAAAATATATTTGAATTTCGTAGATTAAGTAATGGGGGGAAGTAGTTCAAGGGAAGAAAGGGCGAGATATAGGCATTCATCATCGTTTCAATCGAGTTCATCTTTTTCTGGAAATCAGTATGGTGGTCATCCTCCTCAACCATCTTATTCTTTTCCGGCACAAAGAGATGAAAATTACCCTGCTCAGGAGGTGTATCCGACGTATCCACAGCAACACTATGGTGCATCTCCGGCTGCTGCTGCTCCAGCCAATGGAGCCCAACCTCATAGACCACAGAAGAAGCTTGACAAGAGATATTCAAGAATTGCAGATAGTTACAATTCTTTGGAACAGGTAACATCACCTACAATTGCTGCAAGTTGATTGGGAAATTGATCAAACTAGTCATTTTGGACTAACATCTTCACTTGTTAGCCAACTTTTTTTCACTTTGTCAAAAATAGGCAAGATTTTGCAAGTACCTCTTTCGCAACTTGTGAAATGTATTTTTCTGTATTAATTATGATTATAGTGGGGTCGGCTTGTGAAATTGGCTCGATGGCTTGCGGAATGGGCTCAATGGTTTGCTTAATCTCCTTAGTGGCTTGCGAAATGACCCACTAGAATCATATTTTATTCATAAAGAAATACATTTTGCAAGTTGCAAAAAGTCACTTGCGAAATCTTGGCTATTTTGGTTCAAATATGAAAAAGAAATGGAAAAAAAGCAAATGATGTTAGTTGAAAATGGCTAATTTGGTCAATTTCTCAAGTTAATATTATCATATAATTTGTAGCATGTCCCGAAAAGTTTTCTTGTTAATTTGGATAAGATCATTTTGTTCTGATTCTTTCTCGTAGAATTGATGTGCAATATTCGCGGAAAATACTTTTTTACTTTTGTAGTTTGTGTCGTACTGTAGCATGAGGAAGTTGGTGTTAAGGTCTAGTGTTTCATATCTTTCGGGTGTTCATGTCATGAAAGTTTGTGCCTTTGTGCTGATTGCTTTTGTTGTGTTCTTGGTTAGAAATTATCATCATTGTTAGAATGAGGCATTTACTTTATCTGCAGGTGACCGAGGCTCTTGCGCATGCTGGGCTTGAGTCTTCCAACCTCATTGTTGGTATCGACTTCACCAAGAGCAATGAATGGACTGGTAACTTTGTTATCCTTGGTGTTTTTTAAATTCCATCATTGGAAGACTTATTTGGAAGGAAACATGCTAATGATGGATTATGTAAACAGGTTCAAGGTCCTTCCACAGAAAAAGTTTGCATCATATTGGCGATAGTCTAAATCCGTATGAACAAGCTATATCTATCATTGGGAAAACGTTGGCAGCTTTTGACGAGGATAACTTGATTCCTTGCTATGGATTTGGAGATGGTATAGTTTTGTAAGCTCATGTTTATTCTGGGTTTCTGACTTAACTAACCTTTTTTAAAAAAATTACAAAAATAACCCTAAAATACATTTTTTTCAAAAAAACCCATCCATTTCTCCAATTTTTTCATGAAAGGAGAAAGGGTCCACAAAAATCCATGTGGGCCTCATAAAGATCTGGAAAAGTTGTAGATGGGACCCTTGGCCAGTTTCGTGAAATGAGAGGGGATTCATGAGGCATTTCACGAAATGGCCACAGGCGGGTTTAATATTAAATGTCGAATAGGTATAAGTTACACTTTGAACCCTTTCGTGAAATGCCTCACGAACCCCCTCCTCATTTCACGACACCGGCCAAGGGGTCCCATCCGCAACAACTTTTCCAGATTTGTGGGGACCACATGGATTTTTGTGGTGAAAAAATTGGAGAAATGTATGGTTTTAAAAGAAATGTATTTTGGGGTTATTTTGTAATTAGAAAAAAAGGTTAGTTAAGTCAAGAACCTGTGTATTCTATATAACGATGCTACGACCAACATGGATTTAGGAAGATCTAAAGTTTTTGGCCTCATTGTGCAGCATCTACACATGATCAAGATGTTTTCAGCTTTTATCCTGAAGATAGGTTCTGTAATGGATTTGAGGATGTCATGAGTAGATACAGAGAAATTGTCCCTCGTCTAAAGCTTTCAGGTTCTAAATCTACATTATTTTCTTTATTCTTGCCTAATGATTAACTTTGGCCAGTGGTTCTTTTGAGCTCTATGAGTTTAGTTCATGTTCATTGTTGAATAAAATTTTAATCATTCTGCAGGACCAACATCTTTCGCCCCTGTAATTGAACAGGCCATGACAATCGTCGAACAAAGTGGGGGCCAGTATCATGTGCTATTAATCATTGCTGATGGGCAGGTTGGTATTTTGGGTCAATATTTGTACTTTGCGAATGTTCTTTTCCACACTATGCACAAGTCGGGCGCTCTTCATCAAAACAACAGCTCTACTTTTGAGGTGGAGGTCATGTTTGCTTACATCTCACCCTCTAGACCCCACCTTCGGGTGGGATATACTGGGATTTTCTGGTTGCAAAGTCAACTTGATGGCAATGAGATTCACAAATAGCACTCCGAACTTTTTATTTGGTTTGAGGATGATTAAGTCCTCATGAATCATTGGTTGGGCAGCTTAGGGGTTGTTTGGTTGGTTTTCCATTAAGTTCTATATGGATAAAGCTGTCTGTGGGAATTAATCTGTCTGTATAGGTTGATAAGGTTTTTGTTTGAGGGTTCTTTCACAGATGGAAGGAGCGTGTTTTTTAATTGGGAGGGGTAGGTTAGGAAAAAAGTTGGCTTCTGCATAAAGCTCCCGCCCTAGAAGCTTACTGAATAAATCACTTTCTATATCATTAAGCCACTACCAAATAGTTATGTATAGCTGACCGAATAAGTTGTGAGTCCCGTTAAGCTCATTAAGCTGCCAACAAACAGGCCCTTAGACTTTTATTTCTCCGGGACCTACTTTTGAGTGGGATATGCGGGGTTAGTTTGATTTGGTTTTAAATTAGACGTTCATTTTTGTGTGTTTGTATGTGTGCTATTTGATTTGTTGCTAATTATATAGTCATGTTATAGGTAACAAGAAGTGTGGATACCGAGTATGGTCAATTGAGTCCACAGGAACAGAATACCGTAGATGCCATAGTCGAAGCAAGGTGATTGTCTGCAACCTTTATCAAGTATAATCCATTACATTTAAGAATTTTCTGGCTCATCATACTATACTTTTTGACAGCAAGCTTCCACTCTCGATTGTTTTAGTGGGGGTTGGAGACGGGCCTTGGGACATGATGAAGGAATTTGATGATAACATCCCTGATCGAGACTTTGATAATTTCCAGGTAAATATTAATACTTGCTAGCTTCAACATATTGTCCATAGTGCTGGTTGAGATATGCCTCATTGTATGCGAGTATATGCGGAATTCCGTTAGATTACTCTCCAAAAGAGCCCTGGAGGAAAGAAGGGAAGTTTCAAAATATATTGAGGATAAATTATCTAAGGGCCCGTTTGGCTTGCAGGATTTGGTGGGATTTGTATTTGGATTCCATTCCAGTCCCATGTTTGGTTTAAAAGGAAGTCCGGAATTGAAATCCACAAACATGGTATTTAGAACTCTCATGGGGATAGTTGGTATTTCGTGGGATTTCATATTTTGTAATAATGTTTTAAAATATGCTAAAAGTACTTCTTTGTAATAATCAATTCATAAAAAGGTAATTTGATTATTCATATACTTTTTTATAATTTGTGTTTCTAAATTATTTATAAAGATTGGAATTCAATTTCATTCCAAATCCTAGGACTAAACACACCAAAGATTCTAAATCGTTGCAAATCCCTCAAAAACATTATGTCAAACCAAACAGGCCCCAATTCTAGCCGATGCGAGACTCTAACATGACCCCTCCAATGGAGGTTAAGGGGCCGTTTATTAAACTCTTACCGGGTAAACACTTACCAACAAGAGTTGTCATTCTCACTTACCTTATCGTGTAACATTCTCGGTCATCAAATTGGATTATGGTAAGCGTCTTTTACCCGGTAAGTGCTTACTGAGTAAGTGTCTTCTACTGATCTACTCGCTTACGTGTAAGATTCTCGGTGCTTGCTATGTCTCTTACCGGGTAAGATTCTCGGTCCTTGCCAACGGTAAGGTAAGTGACGCTCAGTAAATGCTTACCCGGTAAGCGTTGGGTAAAACGGCCCCTAAATGGACAGATGGACACAGATTGTCCCAGAGGGGGCTGAACGGTACCAATTGCCTCATAACAGTAGACCTTGTCTCTTATACCAAGTGAGAATATGTGGAATTCTATTAAATTACTTTGTTATTATACATGTTTTCTGATATTGTTTTCTTTTCCATATTAGTTTGTCAATTTCACAGAAATCATGTCGAAGAACATGCCTTTGATCCGAAAAGAGACAGAATTTGCTCTTTCAGCATTAATGGAAATCCCTTCTCAATATAAAGCAACGATCGAACTGAATTTACTAGGGTACATGACCTTCCCTGTCTTTTTTTCGACTAAATTCTTGATTATCTTTTTCCCTTTTGTCATCGTATTTTCTTATGAATATGCAGTAGTCGCAGAGGAATTTCTCCCCAAAGGGTCGCCCTTCCTCCTCCAATTCGCCCACCATTCTCAAAACCATCGTATTCAAATAGCTTTCAAAAGGGCTCACAATCATATTATGGCCATGGCAGTCCTGTTCGTTCTGCTTCTTTATATGGTCAAATTAGCCCGGATCACACATCGGCATCGATTTCGAAATCTACTTCCGACAACCAGGTACAAGTTTGTTTGATTATCGATTTCTGCGTCATTGTTATTATGATCGTATGAGTGCCGGCCGCCATGGCTCAAAAAGGTCAAACGACTTCTAAATATGTTCAATTGGACATTTGATGTTGATACACCTACAAGTTCTTGTCCACTCGATATGATTCACTTGTATGAAGTTTGCATGAACCAAGCCAAACCAAACAAATCCGGTATACCCCACCCGAATGTGGGAACCAAAGGGAGGGGAAATGTACGCATGCCTGACATCTACCCCAGGTGTTCTCACAAAATGACCAACCCGGCCAACCCAACCCGAAAAAACCCCAAAAGACTCAACCCGAGGCAATCCGACACATAAGTGATACAAAATTAGGCCAAACCGCATCTATTGGGTTGGAATTGGGTTAGGGTAAATTGAACTCAACACAAACCATGTCGACCCTAATCTACCCCAAGAGAGTATTTTGTTTCCATGAAGACTTCCAGGCCTCTGCGCCCCAGCGTCAGAGGTGGACCCGGATAAAATTTCCAGCGGGGGCACAAAATATTAAAAGATTAGTTATAAAAAGTACAGTTTCATTTAAAAGTTAGTTAAAGCAGGGGCACAAAATAGCTGGCATAATATAAAGTAAAACAAAAATTAGTTATAAAACGTGTGGTTTCTTTCAAAAGCTAAAAGAGAGCCAAAAGGATTCAAACTTACAAGTTATAATGCCACATGCAATAAAAACTACCGGTAGGCTACAACCCATTTTTGTTAACTCAGCACATGAAATGAAAACGAAAGAGTCGTAGCATGCCCCCGCCCCAATCCCCGAAAAAATAATCCGCCCCTTCCTGGCATGTGAAAACTGCGTGAAAGGATGCTTGGTTTTTTGCACCCGGATCGTAATTTTAAGTTTTATTTGATTGATCTTATAAACTAGCACTCATTTCTATTTCGATAATATGCAGCTATGCCCCATTTGCCTTAATAACACGAAGAACATGGCCTTCGGTTGCGGACACCAGGTATTACTATTGACCTTCATTTATGTCTACTTAACATGAAACCTAGGGGCCGTTTACTAAACTCTTACTCGGTAAATGCTTACCGAGTTATTTACCTTACCGGATGAACATGACAAGGGCCTAAAATTTTATCCAGTAAGTGAGGGTAACGAGGCTTGCCCGGTAAGTTCTTACCAGGTGATTGTTGCATACGATACCCTTTTTTGATGGACTATATAATCTTACCTGGTAAAGTAAGTTAGAGTTTTGACTTTTATCGATAAGCGCTTACCCGGTAAGGGTTTGGGTAAACGGCCCCTTAATACGTAGCATTTGGATATTAAGCTTTGTTCGTTATATGGGATTTGGCAGACATGTTATGAGTGCGGAGAAACGCTTCAATTATGCCCGATTTGCCGAAGTTCAATCCAAACTAGAATAAAGCTCTACTAAGCATTGGTTTGTCTTAGCTGTTTTAGCTTAGCAGGTAAGGAGGTAGACATCATTGCAGAATGAATAGAAATCTAGAGTTTGAATCTAGATTCCATAGCTGAGAAGCATGATTTACCTTTCTTATGATGATTGTGGGACCAGGAACGCTCCAGATTGTGGTGCAGAGTGTTATTTATTATCCGTTCTATACCAGTATTATTCATTCTTTCATGATTCTTTTGATAAACAATATATACATATTTTTTTGTTTAGGTGGAGTTGTTTAGGCTTGTTTTCAGTGATACATAGAAGTCGAAAAATGATGTAAATGGACACAGATTTTTTCCTGTCAATACGTTTTTGGTGATTTGATATTTTGTATTTAATTTATATTTTATAAGAATATATAAAAAATAAATAAAAAAAGTTATTCGGTGTTTTTTAATTTGATGGGAAACGTAATAGAAGTGCCATTCAAATCGGGTATGGGTCCGGCCTTTCGAGTTTCAAATCCGTTTTCAACGAGCAAAAAGAAGAAACGGGCCAGGCCGGGCCTTGGGATTAAAAAAAGAGTACAATCAGGCTTTTTTAGACCAATTTTTGTAGACTTTTCAAGGCTTTTTTAGGTCGGGATCTTTTTAGGCCGGGTCAGTCTTTAAAATTTCTGCTTGATCAGGCTTTTAGGCCCGGCTTGAACCGGACTTCAGGTGCATAGATATTTTCAGACCAGGTTTGGACCGGGCTTTGATCTTGAGCTTTATATATGGTTAGGTTCAGGGAAAAACTGTAGAAAAATAAATGGAAAACTGAGGAATACTGTAGTAACTCATTCATATGTAGGGTATGCATATTTGCATACAAGTAACTTCTAACATGCACATGTGTATAAAAACCATAAAACAACTTCAATTATTTCTATACACATGAATATCATGTTTTTCATTTTTTTTGGGGGGGTCCCTCTCTCTCTCTCTCTCTCTCTCTCTCTCTCTCTCTATATATATATATATATATATATATATATATATATATATATCGGTTCCTGTAAGAATAAAAGTTATGATGAGAATGATAAGAAGTGATTTTCATCATTTAATTAATCCTAAGTGAAAATCAACACTAATGAGGTGCATCGAAATACACCAAATCAATTCTTGTGATGAGCCCAATTTATGGGTGAGATGACATTAAAAATGATCGAGGATCCATATCACTTCTTAAGGTTCTGACCTTTTAACTTATGTTCTGACACTATCCTTTGTCTATATATATATTTTAATATATCAAACTCAAATTTTCTTATTATGAATAAAAAGCTATCTTATCCATCTCAGTTTCATTCGGTTCTTATACATCTAGTCCTATATAATTTATAAATATTTTTTTATTAAAAAAAGACAAATTGCATGAAAAATAACGTATTTTAATATGATTTTATTTTAGGTAACGCACTTTCAAACTTTTATTTTGGTATCTAAGATGTAAAGTTTTAAACATTTAAGTACTCGGGTAATTGGTTGAAGCATTAACCGGCTACCATGCTGATGTGGCATCCAACTCAATATTATCTGTTATTCAACCCAATTTCATCTCATCACTCGTCACATCAGCATGGTGACCGGTTAATGCTTCAACCGGTTACTTAAATATTTAAAATTTTAGAATTCAAATCAAAGTACATTATTTTTTCATGCAATTTATTAAAAAAAACAAATCATATTAGTAGCTGATTTAGTTATTTGTCAATTTATAGTTGGTGCAGGTCAATTTCATGTTTAATGAAGCCGACTCAAACCAAACCTTAAAGCCCCCTTTCTCTCCTCTTCTTTTCCCTCCACCGTGATCTTATTTAAATTCTCAACTTACCAACAATATTAGCATTCTTGGTGTGTGTGTGTGTGAGTAATTACAATTTTCATCCCTATGTTTTTTTAAATTACGATTTTCATCCTTCTGATTTATAATTTATTATTTTTTTTCATTCTTATAGTTTATAACTTATTTTTCTTTTCGTCCCTATGGTTTATAATATGTTTTTGTTTTAGTCCCTCATACTTAAAGGTATGTGTTAGACTCAGGGATGAAAATAGTAATAAATTACAAACTATAGGGACAAAAACTGCAGTTTTAAAACCACGGATACGACAATCACAATTTTTGACAAACCACAGGGATGAAAAATGTAGTTTACTCTAAATTAGTTGAGAGTATTACGATTTTCCTTTCTCTGGTTTGTTAATAATTTTAATTCGAACCACAAGGGTGGTGTCCGATCAGTTTGAGCTTAAAATCAAAAGATCAAAAGTGTTTGGAGGTCTCAGATTCGAATCCAAGGAAGGAATAAAAATTCCATGACCACGGAGGTTCAAATATGGTGACTCCAGGCTGCCTGCAAAGCGTATAGTCACCCTGAGATTAGTCGGCTTGCATAACGGGTTAGATATCCAGATTAATCAAAAAAGAAATAATTTTAATTTTAATTTTCATCCCTATGGTTTAGTAATTATTATTTTTGTCCCTATAATTTATAATTTGTTATGTTTTGGTCCAAGAATTAATTCCTACCTTTAAATAAAATAGACCAAAACAGTAAAGAATTATAAACAGATATGTCAATAAATTGTAAATTATAAGAACGAAAATAACAGTAATTTATAAATCAGATATGTCGAAAATTGCAATTTTTAATAAACCATAAGGACTGAAAACGTAATTTACTCTAAATTTAAACCTGTTTTTATGGGGAAATTATCGTAACTCGTTTTTGGATCATCTCGCCATCTACCATCCCGTTCAGCATTCAATGCTTCCGGTTCATATAAACCAACCTGCCATCTTCCACCGCCTCCTAATCTCAAACCAACCGGAATCCAAATGACGCCGGCGACCGGATTTTCATACCACCGACTGCAGAACGAAGGCGATAATGACTACGAGGAAGAAATGAAGAGAGCGATTGATCACGTGAAGTCGAGAATCCAACGATCTTCCAGGTTGAAGAGAGTGCACATGAGGAAGAGGTTGAAGATGAAGATCCCGAGCTTGAGGAAGTTTGTGAGGAGGAGAGCTCGAGTGGTTATGGTTTCCATGGCGAAGGTTCTGAAGAGGCTTAAGGACAGTCAATCGCATTTTGGCGACTTATTTGCTGGTAATTATTTGTTTATGCAAGTTAATCCTGCTCCTCTGAAATCTTCTTCTTCGCCATATGCAATTAATCATGGATCTATTAAAAGGATAGAAGATGAATTGCGCCGTCCTTCCCCTAGGGTTTCGTAATTTGATTGATCGATCTCGGATGACGATAGATCATCGATCCACTGAGACGACGTTGATTAAATGCTGAATAACTAGTTGATTAACTAATTAATTAATTAATCGATGTTCGTCCTTCATTTCTGAATCTAAGCTATGATGATCTTCGTCCAAATCATATCCAATTATCCATGGAATCAAGTAGTTAATTGATCGTTTTAGAAACAAAATTAGGTTTTGCATGGAGATGATGGTGATGGATTTGGTTTCTGTATCAATATGCTTTACTATCTGCATTCCTTGAGGATGATTACTATCTCCTATTGTATTTTATTGTCATTATTATTTTTTCAGAAGTAAATGAAATTATATGGAAATTGAATTGTATTTTTCTACTTCTAGTGAGAAAGCCCGGCCCAAGCCCATCCCCAGTTTCAAAAAGCCCGATAACATTCGATTGAAGCCAAACCGGAAAAGCCAGAGTAGTCTAGCCTAAAAAGTCCGATCAACTATATTTTCACATCCAACGTCTGGTTCAACCCAGGTCTTGTGCAACTCTAGCTAATAGCTATCGCTAGAGATGGTAAAAAACTGGTCAGGGACCAAGCCCGTTCCAAATGAGTCTGTGTCCTAAATCGGTCCCTACAAAATCGGGCTGGTTGATCCTAATCACAATGCTACTATGTTCTTGCTCTTGTTTCCGCCTGCTACCATCACCCTTTTTTTTATTAACCTGTATACCCAACTCGCTATGCGAGCCGATTACTTCAGGACGACCACCTGCTTTGCAGATAGCCCGGAGTCACCGCATTTGAATCTCCGTGGCCACAAGGGGATTTTTATTCCTCATTAGATTTGAACCTGTGACCTTCTGGTACTTTTGATCTTTGGAACCAAGCTCAAACCAATCATGCACCACCCTTGTGGTTCTGCTACACGTGGGTTTAGGGTCACTACTACTACCATCACCATTATTGTCACTACTACACGTTATTTATGGGTTGGGTTCCGTTATGAATGAAAGTTATAGTGAGAAGAGTAAGAATGAATCTTCATCCGTGGATTAATCCTAATTGAATATCAACAGTAATGTCATGCACCAGATTAATTCTCATATCAAACGCAAGTTATGGGGTGGGGTGAGATTAAGGGTCTGTTTGTTTTTTCAAAATTACCTCTTAATACCTCTGAAGTGTTATTCGTTCAGACGTTTGGGTATTAAGGGCATTTGTTTTATTTCTAAAATGGGAGCTTAAAAGCTTTAAATGTCCTCTAAAATTTTAAGTGGTAAACGTTAACGTATCACTTAATACCTCATAATCCTAATCCGCTCTCTATCAAATGGTTCATATTTTGGGGGCCGGAAGAGATTTGTTAGCAAAAACTATTTATCTTTTATACCTTTGTAAAAAATATTTATCTTTTATATTTTTTGCATTAGTTTGACCTATTCAGATTTTAGACTTAAGAGTAAAAACAAACAATCTTACTGATCTAAATTTCAGACTTCAGAACCATCTCCTATAAATCAAACTTTAGTATCTCTTAAAAAACAAACGCAACCTAAAAGTGATCAAAAGTTCAAATCCAAGGAGGAATAAAACCAATTTTAATTTCGAGAAAACAAGCTTTTAAAACTTGTGATGAGATAAAATAGGAATGGAAGTAGAGTTTATAAGAAATAGATGTTTTGAAAATTGTTCCCCAAAAGTAAATGATGAATTTTTTTTATTTAACCTGGATATCCAATCTGTTATACGAACCGACTAATCACAGGGCGATCATCTGCTTTGCAGATATCCCGAAAGCACCGCATTTGAACCTCCGTGGCCACAATGGGATTTTTATTCCTCATTTGATTTGAACATGAGACATCCTGGTACTTTTTGACCTTTGGAATCAAGCTCAAAATCAATCAGACACCACCCTTATGGTTAAATGATGAAATTTTACTATCGCATGTCTATGATTAATTAATTATAATTTAACTACAAGAAGTTATTAAACGATAGGTAAGCGTAAGTACCAAGTACGTGAACCTAATTAATGCATTCTTTACATGTAGATGGCCATGCAACTTTTTACCTCACTATACCCTATGCCCTATTCTATTATTCTTAAATGCTTGAACGATTTTCCTTTAAAATTAATTTAATATTTTTGTCACAAAAGAAATGAAATATAGTGATGATATTATAACCTCGAATTATAAAATAATAAAAATTATTTTCAATTTATAGTATTTAGAAAAATAAATAATTAATATATATAAATTCGGTCGGAAAGATCTTCCAAAAGATAAGATGGGGACCGATCAGCCTTACCATAACCGAGCTTTTTCAGGCCGAGCCAAGATCAATTTTCGATCCCAATGCCATATATACATACAAAAAATCATAATAGTGCACACTACAGAACCAATCCTCCAGGTCAAAAAAAACCATCTACATATGCAAAGAAACTAACAACGAAGAGTATAACAACAAACTTTGTTCGACAAAAAAACCGATCGATTTTCGAACTTCCGGTACTCGTACTACTGGCCAAAAATTAGTAGTGGTTTTGATGATCCACACCATCTTCTGTTGTTACATGTATGTACACATTTTCTGCTCTCACCTTAGCATCCTATGGAGGTTCTTAGTTTGTTGAGTTGGCATTGATATTGATGTGGCCAAAAAAAAGTGCAAAAAGGAGGTTTTTATAAGCCACTACATTATGGATGCTCTTAGGATTAAGGATCTTGTTTCTTCTTACATAAATACTACGGTTAAACCTCGGCTAAACCAAAAGTTTTCGAGCATTTTCGACTGCTTTAACATAAAAATATAATCTCCACAACGTTAAATTATCCTGCAAGATAATAACCACATCATGACGGTTTAGAGAACGATAATGTCGTGCTTGACCAAAAACATAAAACATGTTACCAGAGGGTCATTGGCTTAGTGGTATCTGTCAACGGTTCAAGTTTCACCACACATGACAGAGTGTGTGTGTGTGTGTGTGTGTGTGTGTTTGTGTGTGTGTGTGAGGTTCAAGGGAAAACCTCCCAGAAAATGAAAAACTAAATAATACCCTGATAACCGTTCGTCTGTACGGTATGCACATGTGCTTACGTGTTCCTCGGTTTTTCATATTTTTTGTGGTTTTCCCTAAAGCTCACCCTATATATATTGTGTGTGTATATATATTGTATATATAAATTGACCCTATATGATATTATATGGGGTTGGGTTCTCGTGAAACAAACCTATTTTCATGAGACTAGTTGTGCAGACACATAAGCGCACCGAACCTTCAAAGCAAAAGCATTGTAAAGGAACAAAAACAAACCTTTACAGTGTTTTCATTGTGCAGTTTTGGTGTTTATTTTGTACCTTCACAGCGTTTTCCTATAAAGATTCAGTGTTATTTTGTAGTCTCACGAAAATAGGCTGGTCTCACATGACCCCAAAGTCTAATCATATACTTCAAAACAGAGAACAAGTTTGTATTACCTCGTGTTGCAGATCGACGGTCATATGATCACTAGATTGGCTTCCGGAACGTTTTCCAAGTTGTATGATTTCAACGACCCGATCCAGGTTTTTTGTAGGCAGATTCTCGATCAATCTCCGTAGCTGAAGCTTTTCCGCAAGTGTCATTGGCCTGATAAGTATCATTAGTTTAGAAATCAGACCAATTTTCCAACTTATTAACGGCAAAATGCATCAGAAGATGACAAAGTTGCGTAATAGCATCTCCAACAGATACTCTATAATTTTTCTAAAAATTTTGAGTATCAGAAGTCAAAATTTGTATAAAGAAATCACATCCAACTCCGATCCAACTCCGACAGCTGTTCCTTTTTAGAGATTCTAGCATTTATTATATTATTAAAATATTTGTTACATTTAATAAAATATTATTTCTCTGTCGTAAACATTTAATTTCAATGACTCTTATTGTTGGGAAGAGTTAAAAGTATTCTCTCTCATAAATATTGAGTTTCAGAGATTTCTCCAAATTTGGATATTTTCACATTCTTTCTCTTCTTTCTCTCTATTTTAGATAACAGTTCAGCATAGCTGTTGGAGCAAAAAAATTTCTATTTGAACATAGTTGTTGGAGATGCTCTTAGAGGTTGTTTACCAAACACTTATCGGCAATGAGTTACTACTCTCATGTAACTTTATCGGGTAACATTCTCGGCCATCAAAATGAATTGCCAATAATCATAGTAATCATATTTTACCTCGTAAGCACTTACCAGTTAAAAGTCTTTTCTCTCACTTACCGGCTAAGATTCTCGATCTATGTTGTTAATAGCGTCGCTATTGCAGCGATATCTCGGATAGTGGACATTAGCAAAATAATGGTGGTCAGATTGCGGTTTAAATTGCGGTAGCGCAATTACCGGCGCAATTTACTGCAATTTTGACCGATATTTAGGGTCAATTGCATTCGATATTAACGTTACTTTTTTTGGGGGGGTGGGCTTTATTTTCCGTCTCTGTTTTTAGATAGTTGGGCTTTATTTCCAGTGTTTCTTTTTTGAGCTTTATTTTTCTTAAGTTTAATCCATTAACATAAGTTGGAAGAACTAGGTTTCTCTATCGACAACCTGTTTTAGTCTTTAGACTATCTGTTCTTCTGGGCTCTGTTCAGCGATTTCATCTGCTTTAGACGACCACAACCCACGAGTCTCACGCTCTCAACTTCTGTTTCCAACTTCTATTTCCAGCTTCTGCTTCTGTCTCCAGGTATCACGAGTCTGGAGTCTGAATTCTTAATCTTGATTGATAAGAAAATCGAAGCAGATTGGTCAATTAAACTCCCTCTGCTCCAACTTCTGCTCCCTCTGTTTTTCAGCTACAGTCTCCAACTTCTGAATTTTTTTAATTATTCTTGTTTTGACTTTGAACTTGGTACCTAGAACTTGTTTAATTATTCTTGTTTGCTCCAGCTTCTGTTTGGTTTGTTGTTAGTCACTTACTTGTTAGGACTTGGCTTTGTTAGGGCTTAGTTAAAGGAACTAATGGAAAGTAGAGAAGGGGGTCAATCTTCAAGAGCATCTGTGACTCTGAATACTACTACTAACTACTTCATTAGATGTGGGTACAAAATGCATCAACGGTGATATGGCTTGGGAATGGGGGTATGGAAAGATCCAACCAAAAAAATGATGTATGGTGTACTTTGTGCGGTAAAAAAGTAAGTGCAGGGATCACTAGATTGAAAGAACATCTTGCTCACACCGGAGGTAATGTGGTTGGTTGTCCTATCTGACTAATGACATCAAGAAAAGAGTTCTTGAATCGAAGAAAGAAAAGGATAAGCAAAAGAAAGAAAGAAATAGAAGAGTAGAAATTCTTCGACAATACACGGTTGAACCCGGTGAAGATGATAGTGATGGTGATGATGATGATGACGGGAAAGAACAAGATGAAATAGAAATTATTGAAGGAGAGCACAAGCCGACAAGCCATCTCGTAGTTTGAAACGAAAGGCCGCTAGTGATGTTCGCAGTCCTCTTGATTCTATGTTGAAGCCCGACTATGGCAAGATAAAACAAACCACTTGAGATAGAAATAACCCAATCAAGGAGAAGTTAAAGATGGCCGCTTGAAAAGAGTTTGCTGTTTGGACATATTCGGTTGGGTTGCCCTTCAATGCCGTGCACAACGAGAACTTTCAAAAGTTTATAAATGCCGTTGGAGACTGGAGAGTATGGAAGAGGTAATTACCATTTATTGAAAAGGTAATTACTAACTTTATTCGTATCATTGGCTCCGAGTTATCACAACATTCGTGTCACTTTGTGGAAAGATGTACTCGACGATACAAACAAGTTTGTGGATTCCTTTCGATCGCATTGGAAGAAAAGTAAATGCACTATTATGTCTGATTTTTGGAAATGCGGGAAAGGTCAAAGCTTGATAAACTTTTTGGTCAATTTTCCTAAAGGAACCATTTTTTGAAATCAATTGATGCATCGAAGCATGTGAAAGATTCTCAATTAATTATAAAGATGCTCAATTAATTGTAAAGATGATCAATGAGGTTATAGACGATGTCAGAGAGGAGAACATTGTGCACGTGAGTAGGTGACAAATATGCTATCTATAAGTATTAACATAGTCTACATATATCAAAGTATTGACTAATTGTTTTTTTTACTTACTAGTTTGTTACTGATGACGGGTCCAACTTTAAAGCTGTTGGAAAAATCTTGGAAGAACAACATCCTCAGATGTTTTGGACACCATGCGGCATGCGCAACACATTGCGTGAATCTTATGATAGGAGTTAGGAGATGTCAGAGAGAAAATACCGAAGATTAAAAGTGTGTTAGCTGATGCGAGAGCGATAATGGTTTATATCCATAACCACGGAAGGATTATGAATATGATGCGGAGGCTCACTAAAAATAGGGAATTACATAGGTCTTGTGTTACAAGGTTTGCAACACAATTCTACACCATTCAGAGCATTCATGAGAACTGGCATCATCTCCAGGTGCTATTTGTTTCTGAACAATGGAGGAAGAGTAACTTTGCCAAGAAAGCCATCGGGAAAAAAATTGAAAGAATAATAGCTAAGCAAGAGTTTTGGGACAGTATTTATCTTGCTTGTCAGGTACTGGCACCATTGGTTGATATTGTTCGGTTGGTTGACACGGAGGAGAAGTTGTGTATGGGTTATATATACAATGCTATGGAAAAAGAAAAAGATCAAATTAAGAACTCGACAAACACTACTCTCGAGAGATTGATCACTAGGGTGTGGTCTATGATTCAGGCACGTTGGAGTGACCAGCTTCATCATCCTTTGGATGCAAGTATAATTTATAAAACATTGTTATGTTTTATTTAATTTTAAAGTTAATACAATTATTGGTATCAACTTTTTAGTACATTTGTAGCCAATTATTACCTCAACCCTGCCATCTATTATGCACAAGATTTAGAAGTTGAGAATAATAAATGCATTAAGACGGGATTAAATGAGGCAATAGACCGACTTCTGCGTGATGAAGAAAGAAATGATACTTTTAAGGATGGAACTTAATCATTATATGTCGAGTCATCGGGGCAATTTGGATCTACGGCTGCCATAAAGAATAGAGCTAAAGTTGCACCACGTAAGTATGATAATCAATACAATATTATATATATATAGATATATACATACATATTCAAAAGTTTATGTATGTGTTTTTTATTAACTTAATATACCTATAAAATGTAGAAGTATGGTGGCATTCTTATGGCATTGACACACCTCTGCTCCAACAATTTGCGATTAGTGTTCTAAGCCAAACTTTTAGCACTTCTCTTTGTGAGCGGAATTGGAGTGCATTTGATCATGCAAGTTTTCTTGGTTATGGAAAATGTATTAGCTCAAATGCAAATTTAATTCAAGTAATAATTTTTAAATTTATCAATTATCATTTCAATTGCACTCTAAGAAGAGGAATTGTCTTTTGCAAAAGAAGTTGAATGATCTTGTATTCATTCAATATAACAAAAGACTAGAGAGGCGCAATAAAACTCTTAGGGATGACAAATCTTCATATCCTATTTTCTTGAGAGATGTGGAAGAAAATGATGATTGGGTGGTTCCAACCGAAGTTGAGTTGCAAGAGTTTGTGGATGCAAGAGATGGCCTCCTTTGGTTAGAGTAAGAAGTACAAGAAGCAATAGGAGGTAATGAACAAGTTGGGCCAAGTACAAGAAGTAAAAGGGAGCGCTATAGGGATGATGATGATCACGTTGGAGGTGAAGGGGGGAAGGGGAAGAGTGGGAAGCTAGCCTAAACGAAGAAGTGAACGTATTAGATGATGCTGACTCAGATGCAGAACCTATTGCTTGCGATTAGCTCATTTATGAACACTTTTCCTATTTTGCAAATGATATGTTTATGTAGGCATATTATATATATAATTATATATAATTCGAAGAAATATTTCCGCTATTTTTGGACCGTTATAGCACCGCTATAACCGCTATTTCAAATATCGGTCTCGACCGCAATTTTGTATTTTCACCGCTATAACAGCATAGTTCTCGATCCTTACTATGCCTCTTACCGGATAAGATTGTCAGTTCTTTCCATGCTCATCCAGTAAGGTAAGCGCTTACCTGATAAGCGTTAAATAAAACGGCCCCTTAGAGCATCTTCAACATCTATGCTATCATTTTTCTATAATAAAGCATGAAAAGTCAAAATATCTTAAAAAACTACATCCAACTCTAACAGCTACTTTATTTTAGCAATTCTAACATTAATTATATTAATAAAATATTCAATACCATTTAATAAAATATTATTCTCTCTCCTATACATTTAATTTCAATACTTCTTATTGGTGGGAAATAATTAAAATATCATTTCTCTCTCTTCTATATAGTTTTAGAGATTTCTCCAAATTTAGAGATTTCTATCTAATCTTTGTTCTTTTCTCTATTTTACCATACCATTTAACATAGATGTTGGAGCAAAAAAATTCTTTAACTCTTCAAAGGTTTCTATTTCAGCATAGCTGTTGGAGATGCTCTTTGTTCCTATTTCAAATTTTCCTATTTTTTATCCATTTTGACCGATGACCTGCTGGTCTTGTAACATTTGGTGACATGAATGTCAAGTTTATAATTCCAAACGGATACACGTTATCAAATATTACAAGATCAACAAGTTACCGGTCTCAACGGGCGCACCATAGTGAGAATAAAGGGCAAACGACCATATAAAACTCTAAACTCCTCTATTGGTAGATAAACGACATACCTGCAACTGGAAATGACGATATCAAGAAGCTCTTCGAGTTTCTCCTGCATCCGATCAAGCTGAGAACACATTTGTCATCAAATTAGCCAAAAAAACATGTCATTTCTTCATGGCCTCAATGATGTCACAATGCCAAAAACAGCAGCCATTTTATAACCCCGAGAAAAAAGGGTTGTGCTCAATCTTAAAAAAATTAGTATTTGTACCGTTGCAGATAATTCAGCCGAATGTTTCTCCATCTTTTCTTCAACCTTTGGACCTCGGTTTACCAAGAGGACTTGCAAATCATCATTAACCTGAAACCCGCGCCGGGGGGGGGGGGGGGTCAAACAAACGGGTTAGATGACCAAACAAAACGTGCCCGGTATAACCTACAGAGTGTAAAATGTACGCATACTTGACCCCCGGCATACAGAAAGTGTGAGAAAGAGTTGGTAAACTCAAAATTTGAAATTCCCCCAAAATCAACCAAAAACCGAAAAAGTCCCCTGAAAGCAACCCAAAAACCCTTAAAAAGTCCCTCAAAATCAACCAAAAAAATAAAAAATCACTGAAAAACGGTCGAATTCAGCTAAAAACACATCGGGCTTATGCCTAACGCATAGTCTGGCGTTTGGCTCAAAAGGTCGATTCCATTTGAAAAAATGCATTTGCATTCCCAAAACGACATAATTGACTTTCTCCAGGTCAAACCGTGTTAACTTTCCCACAGGATCAAACCGCAGCTGTAAAGGTACAATGGGTATTTATATACGCAAAGAAAATAAATAATATCTACCTCTCCGTTTCCTTTATCGTCTCTTGAACTTGATCCAAAAAACGACTCATTCACGTCCATATAATTTAAAGACCCTTTTGCTTGTTTTAAACAATCGTCACAAACGAACTACATAAATGAAAAACTACGTTAATAACAATTAAGATAAAAAAAATCAAGAGAAATGTAGACTTCATCTTACCTTAGGTTCATCGAGATTACTTTTTTCGGGATACATATCCGTTTTAGAAAACTTTGCACACCCGATAGTGGAACACCCGGTTAACGATTTACCTGGTTTAGCCACCACACCCTTCCGTTCATTTTGTGAACCCTGTTTATTTCAATATTTAGTGATGGGAATCGGTAATTTAGAAAAAAAAGACAACAAAAAGATCTGAAGGCATCAGTTGGGGATGGGAACTAAGGTTGCCTTATAAGGGACTAGATACCTCCTCTACTAGACGCGTTTTAAACCTGAGTCCAAAGTCCAGGTGTGTGGACAAAGCGGACACTATCTGGTACGGTTGGCCTGGGATGTTACAAAATTAGGGTTTGTAGACGGGACTATACAGGGGAGAGTGAGGTAGTCATGTGACAGAATTGTGCAAGATTTTAGGGTTTTAATTTGACATGCAAGTCCACGGCCAAATACTTATTATTTCTTGGGTATCCTCTTCAGTCTTCTCGTCGAGTCCCCTTTCTCCTCGGAGTTCAGTAATTTACCAATCTTGTCTTATCTCCCTCATTTTTGTTACACCTAGTTTGGTGGCGTAAAAAAAATGCAATTTTATCCTACTCATGATATGAATTCACTCCTGTGATTCAGCATCTAAGAGCATCTCCAACAGTTGTGCTATAATTTTTCTAAAATAAAATATATAAAATCAAAATCTTTAAAAAAAGCTACTCTATTTTAGCAATTCCGACATTAATTATATTTTATTAAAATACGTATAAATTCATCATCCCAACACATTTCGTAAAGAAACTTCATAAAAAGTTGTAACACATTCAACTTCGTTGATGGAAACAATTAAAATAATACATCTTTCTCCTCGATATTAAGTTCTAAAGATTTCTTAAAATCTGGAGATTTCTACCTTCTCTCTCTTTCTTTTTCTCTATTTCAGCATACACTTTAACATAGTTGTTGGAGCAAAAGAAAACTCTTAAATCTCCAAAGTCCCAATTTAGCATAGGTGTTGCAGATGCTCTAAGAGCATCACCAACGATATACTATTTTAGAAATTTTGGAGATCTGGGAAAATTTCGCTCCGATAGATATGTTGAACTCTTCTCTAAAAGCAAGAAAAAAGGTAGAGAGGATGGAGAAATCTCCAAATTTAGAATAAGAGAGAGAAAATATAGCATACGTGTTGGAGATACTCTAAGAGCATCTCCAACAGGTATGCTATATTCTCTCTTCTTTCAAATTTAGAGATTTCTCCATTCTCTCTCCCTCTTTTATCTATTTTAGAGGAGATTTTAGCACAACTGTTGGAGCAAAATTCTCTCAAAAATCTAAAACAGCATAGCTGTTGGAGATGCTCTAAGTAACTAAAGAACCCTTTATCTTCAAGATATAATAACGACAAAGTAATAAATAAACCAAAAATGGAAAAAACAATCAATCGTGAAAATGTGGAAATGTCTAAACCTATAGAGTTAAAATTCTACCAATTCGGAAAATTTTCAATATGTTTCAACAGTAATGCGTATAAAATAATGCTACATGTAAAGCATAACGGTTGTAAAATCGTACAAACAACATACCTCCCCCGTAAGATTACAGCTGACAGGACTAACAATCAGAGGTTCGTTTATCGAAGATGAAGAAGACGGAACTTTGAGTCTCTTAAGTGCACGACTTTCATTCTCATCCTTGCTGTTAGGATCTTGATATCTTGCACTACTCTTTGTGGGTGCCATAAGACCTCTCAAACGATGCATGGAAAACACGGGATCCAACATCTGCTTTCATTTATGTACATAATCACGTGATAATCAGATAAAGATAAAGCTCGGCTACAACACATCCAATAATAGTTACATGTGTGTGTGTACATATATATAGAGGGAAGTTAAGGGGAACACCCCCAAAAAATTGAAAAACTGAGGAACACGCATACAAGTAACAGTCAGATATATTTCAAAATAGGGGCAGAGCGATATCACACCGCTATTCTCCTAGGGACCGTGAACCGCTATTGCACCTCTATAGCAGCATGATTAACAACATAGGATAAGATGCATCTGTATGAATGTATATGCATACTCTCACAAATGGGTACATGTGTATGCTTTGTGGTTTTAGATTCAAACCTAAGATTTTAAATCTCGTCAAAAGAAAAAAACGGAACGGTTTTGGCATACCTCGTCCACTTCCCGTGTTAGAGCAACAACGCTTTGGCGAAGCATTGCCAACAATTTCGCTTTCTTGAAACCCGAAAGTCCATCTCCTGCAGCATTACGAAATAAAGAACCAAAACCAACGAAATCGGTTTTCTCATCACATCCACCTTCCTCCTCCTCCTTCTTTGGTAGCAACTCCTTATCCCTAAAACTCCCATTCGTTGTTCCAACTACCCGACAAGAAAATGGAGAAAAATCATCGCCGGAAAGCAGCTCCGCTACCCCCTGAATGTAAAACTGGAATAAATCTGGTCTAACATAATCGGCTGATACATTCATATCCCTCGAGATTCCGGAGGACATGACACTGATTCACCAATCCTGTTGCAATCATATCACAATGGAAATTTTACCTTCAACTTTTCTGCTACAATTTATATAAACCCTTTAGGGGGAAAACATACAGCAGAGACAAATTTTATTGCAGATTTTGGGCAATAAAGTTCAATTCGGTGAAACGAAGAATTAACCCAATAAGATGATATCGAACTCTATAAATTTTAGATGCATATATATACATAATATGTATAGAGGAAGGATCGTGCGAGAAGCTAAACATTTTGCGAGAAGCCGAAAAGTTTCAATATCATACATGATTACTCTCCATTGGGTGTCTTTAATCATGTATGATTATATATATGTTGTCATGTGTTTAATCATATACGATTAAGCTTTTGTATCATGCATTTAATCAGATATATATATATATTTATATATATATATATATATAGGGTTGGGTTCACGTGAGACCAGCCTGTTTTCGTAAGACCCGTGAGACCAGCATTTTACACGTAAACTTCACAGCAAAAACACTGTGAAGGTTTAAAAAAAGTCGAACCTTCACAACAAAAACACTGTGAAGGTTTTAAAAAGTCACATTCACAGCATTTTGCTGTGAAGTTTCAAGTGTAAAATACTGGTCTCAGGTCTCACGAAAACAGGCTGGTCTCACATGATCCCAAATCTATATATATATATATATATATATAAATTTTATATTCAACTTTTCTGCCACGATTTATATAAACCCTTTTGGGCAATAAACTTCAATTCTATAGATTTCAGATGCGTACATATGTATGAATATATAATATATATATTATGTATATAAGAACCACAAACCTAAACACTAACGCTAAATCGTCGTCCATGGAACCAGAAACAATAAATCAATCGAATATAAATCGAAATCCAGACACAAACGCTAAACCCTAATCCTTTAATACACAATACGATTGCAAAAAAAATTGGAAAGGGGAAGAGCAGAACGAACCTCGAGAAGCTGAAATGAAGCTTTCGAACCAGAGATTTAATGGGATTTTTTGCAGATAACGGTTATTTGGGGAATTCGTGCTTCTTTTCTTCGGTGGTCGGAAATCAAATCGCCATCAATCACACCGCTTGATTCATGAATTTAAATGCTCAAACGCCATATGTTTACACTTTTGGTTCAATCACACCGCCATATGAATTTGATTCATCGCTTCCTCCGAATGCTGTACCATTTTATTTCGAATTACTTGACCTATTTAATATTATACACTTTTGGTCCCTATCTTTTTCCATTTTTTGGTTTTTGGTCCTTTAATTATTTAGAGTAAATTACGAATTTGGTCCCTGTGGTTTATTGAAAATAATATCTTTCATCCTTACAGTTTTGAAATTACAAAATAGATAATCTTGGTTTGCAAAAATGTTCATATTTAGTCCCTCTTTTTAATGACCGTTAAAAAATTTCGTGAAATAAATATATTTTCATTCTTTTCTCGATTTATTTGTTTTTAACCCAATCAAAAACCACATGGGGCAAACTATAAAATCGATTTTCATTGGTTAAAAAGACCAAAATGGATAAAAAGAATGAAAATACTTCTCGTTTTTAACAGACATTAGAGGGAGGGACCAAATCCGAACGTTTTTCCAAACATCCATTGTCATCTTTTAATTTCGAAACTATGAGACGAAAAAATGTTGTTTTTAGCAAACTATAGAGACCAAATTTGTAGTTTACTCTTTTTTTAAGTATATAATATTTATATACCGCAAATGTAACAAATAAACTCCCATACACTTGAACTCTAACCTCCTAGAAAGCCAAAGACTACGATACCGTTAGGTCAAAGGCCTTTTGGTTAATTTACTCTTCTTCCTAATTACAAGTTTTTCATGGTTTGCATTTTTTTTAATCGAATACTTAACCTTAGTTAACATAATATAAAATTCATGTTTAGTTTCCAATTTAACGAAAATTATTCATAAACTTCATTTATTTTAAGTTTGTTACTGACATTTGCAAAACTGCTCGGTTTTCGTTTCTACCATCAACAGTCGTTATGTCTATTATCTCCAATTAAACTAGTGATATTTTGATAAATGAAAAAGAGGACGTGAGAGATCTTTATAACATCGTTTGAAATATCTTATGATACCCACAACTGGTTGTGCTTTGATATCTGGATGCATGTAAGCGATTTAAGGTTCATTTTATGTCAACGAACTCTTAATTGTTAGTCTTATCAGTTGTAATCGCCTTGGGGAGGTATGATGTTTGAACGAGTGCACGATCATTTTGTTTTACACTTAGCACAATTGTATGAGCATTAATAGTCAAATACTTTTAAAAATGTTGAATTGTTATACTGTGTGGTTGAGATTTAACAAGTTTATTTTTTATTTTAGTTTATTCTTATATATTTGTCATTATTATATCAACATATCTTAAACATAAGCGGTTCTATAATTACTTATATACTTTAATTTATACTGTTACAACATTCCCGACTGACACGTTGATGAAAGTTTTACAGTAGAATATGAAACAAATGACTTTGGATTACTCCATGCGCGTACATAATGAAATTTTGGGCAAAAATTTGATTAACAGCAATCCCACCTGGTCGACATGAAATATGTCTTCAATGATACCAATACGAGGAGACATTTTTTATTTGGCAAAAGTTCATGTTATTGGCAAAAGTCTACTTCGGCCCTCAATTATGAACCAAAGACCGGTTTTTAAAAAATCTAGTAGAAGCTTTACACGGATGATATTTATGGGATGATTGGTTAGAGGTATTAAACAGTAATCAATGTAAATGAACATATAATATAATAAGTTCAATCCCAATAATCCCAAATTTTTATTGCAGGTTAAATTTAGAGAATTCATACCCATTTTTATTCTCTATTATTTTTATTCTTATTCGTCTCAATCAAACGGTCCCTTAAATAATTTCGTATATTATTTAAAGATGTCTTCATTTTAGCAGAAAATATTATTTGAATTAAAAATTGAAATTATATTAATAAACAAATTAATTTAATACATTTAAATGGCAGCTAAGGCCCCTATAGCTCAGTGGTAGAGCGCCAGTCTTGTAAACTGGAGGTCTGTAGTTCGATCCTGCATGGGGGCATTAATTTTTTCCCCTCTAAATTCAAAATATTTTTGCCCCCCATCTAGGGTGTATACGGTGTGGTTTTTGACATATTTACAATCAAACCCCTATTAGTATTAGGGGTGTTTTTATGAAGAAATAAGCTTCTCTTTGATTTTGGATTCTTATTAAATCCTAATTTCATATATGTGAAACCCTTTTTTAGTTTGCAGTTCTTGATGATACATGATTTTGTGAGGATTCTTATACCCTGATTTCGTATCTGTGTTCTTAGCTTCTTGGGGTTTAATTTTTGTTGCCATTGATGATGAATTAATGATCAATTAGAAGAAATTTTGCTTGTTTGATGTTTTGTTCTTAGTTTCCTTGAGTTTTGGGGATCCAATATATTCTTTGATGATATATCACTCTAGAGACTCAACATTTCCAGATAATTTATGCCCGTCTAGTTTTCATCGGGGGCATGTTGGTGTCCTACATCAGGACCTTTCATCCTCAACATCAACTCTTTTGTAAAGTAATCTAATAGGGTTTCACATATTCTTACCATTGAATTTAGAGGGACCTTTTTTTGTTTAGAAATTGCTAGTTTGCAAGTTTATATGATGTGATGGTATCATGTTTTCTTCTGATACCTCACATCTTGTCCACCTCTTTTCAAGTATAGATTTGAGGAGGAAAAAAAGTTAGATTCTTCTTGTAATTTTGCAATTATTAGTTACAAAGGTGCATATGAATACATAATGGCATAGGTGGGGTGGGGTGGGGGGTAAGTAGAGATGTGATCTGGCAATCTTTATTCTTTACAAAAACCAGTTTACACCCTGGATATGTGTTGGACTCCACATCTTTGACTACCTTATGCATCACTTGCCTTTATTTTAAACCACTTGAACTCATATGACACTCTTTTGAACCACAAATGGGTGAACATGATACATACACTTGGTTTACTTGAATCTTGAACAATTCAATCGACAAACAAAAGTTAGGTCTCGAAACTCTTGTCGTTAGGATCGGATCAGATTGAACGGACCGAGAGTGAGGTAGGCAGATGAAAAACATGTGGGGTTTTTTTTTTTTTTTTTTTTTTGGAGGGGTGGGGGCGGTGTTGGAGGCGGACCCAGAAATTTTTTCAAATGGTGCAAAATTTGACTATAAGATATGTGTATTTTTTTTTCAAAATATTAATCAATAAAGCCTTTGTGTTAACGTTTCAGTCTCAAAAACTATATGGTGGAACCCACTAAGTTCTGTCAAATTCCCGTCTACTTGTCACATTAAATATGAGACAACAAGTTTTTATTATGTTTTATAAAATATTATGTTTGTGTATGAAACGCAACTTCAATAGTCAGGATTAGTGGTCTTTATTTTGAGGCAGCAGAGGATTAGCAGATGCAATGGTTGCACATGGGAGGCACGTGCACTTTTATATAGTGTTTTTGGGGATTAACCCAACCCACTTTGCTTTTGGGAGGAAGAGGACCATCATTTAGAGGTTATGGGTACTGTTCATCATTTAGGGGACATCACTTTTATCAAGTCAAGAATGGCCCCATCATTACATAAACAAACACCCCTTTTCTTCCAATTTAAATAATTTGGATGCTGAGTTACTCACTTTCTTCCCATTTTATGTATCATATATGTATGCATGTATGTGTATATATGTATGTATGGATGGATGGATGTAAAGACGAATCCATAAATTTTTCGAGTTGGTAGCACAATTTGACTATAAAAATATATATTTTCACAATATTAATTGGATTTATTGTTTGATTCTTTGTTCTTACATAGAAAAGACTCGTATTCGAATCCAATCTACATATATTTTTAAAAACACAAAATGTATATAAAAAAAATCAAATAATTTAAGTTAAAACAACAAATTTGACAACTCTGGACTCAAAAGTGGGTCTTTTGTATAAAGATAGTAACGTTTATTATCTTAGCCATTAAAGTCTTGTGAAAATATTTCAGTTTCAAAACTTATATGATGGCATCCAATAAAACAATACGATGACACCCTTCAGAAATGTATTTTTTTTCCTTTATGACGGAACCATGTAGCAATGGCCCGTGTCATTCTATCTTTCCATGTGGGTCCGTCCCTATAGGCATGTATGTGTAAATAGTATATATATATATATATATATATATATATATATATATATATATATATATGATGTTGGCACACCATACATGTATGTATGGTGAGTTTCTTCCCATTTCATCTTTTATTATGTGTGTATGTATGTATATGTGCATGCATACATGAATTTATGGTATAAAACTATAGATGATGTTGGTATACCATACATGTATGTATGGTGTAGTTACAGCCTGGTACATAAAGTCAAAGAAAACCCAAAATAATTAACTCAATGATGTTTATTAGAAGCTTGTTTTATAAAAATGACTTTTTAGTGTATTTTTAAGTTTTTATAGGAGCAAATTGTTGTTTCTTACCAAGGGATGTTGTAAACTAGAGACGCTGAGGCAATGTCAGATAAAGGTTACTGAGCTATAAATTCGAAGGACCCAAACAAACTCATCGTTTTCTTTATTTTCTGGTTAGGTATACAGACGGTATTACGGGACCATATTGTCGTTTTCAATCATGGATAAACTGTTCTGAACTAGGAACATTCGAGATTACGATCATTGAACTAAATTTCAAAGAATCCAAACATACCCACCGTTTTCTTTATTTTTTGGTCAGGTATAAAGATAGAAGCCCCTACCCCCTCCCTCCTCGTTCAAAACAACAGTCTGCTCCCATACAAACTCAGAAAAAAGTGATTTTGCAAAACTAGCTTCTGAAAAACATCATCAAGACATGTCCGATAGTCATTAATCGAAAAATTCAAGTGAACTAAACAAACCCATCATTTTCTTCATTTTTTAGTTAACTATAAAGTTGTTTTTTTTACCGTAGCATACTGTTGTTTTAATCATACAGATACTGTTTTGAACTAGGAGTAGGTCGAATGAATATCATTGAGCTAAAATTCATAGATTCCAAACATACCCACCATTTTCTTTATCTTTTCGTTAGTTATAAATATATGAGCCCCTACCCACCTCC